AAGGTCAGCTGGCTCCACAGCCGAAATGCATGGTGGGAGGGCGGGGAAGAGGAGAGCTGCACAACCATGGCAGCCAGGACACAGAGAGACAAGGGAGGAGCAGGGACAAGAACACACTGTTCTAGGTCACGTTCCAGCGGCCACCTCCAAGCAGGCTCCACCTCCTCGCGGCACATTCATCCCTGAGCGCATCCATGGATGAACTCACTGGTGAGTGGAGCACCCCACTATCCAATCGCCATCCACTCACACGAGATTGGGGGAGAGATTTCAGATTTAAACCCTAACATGGATGTGATATATAGAGATAGTAATCATAAAGTGCGTTACTTCACAAATAACCCCAGTTCTTTGGACAAAGAGATCTCACAATTGCTTCCATCATAAATAAATTCAAACTTTTAGTAATAGGTGAATGTACCACATTTATCTATTCAGATACTTGGCAAATAATTTGGAAGAAACTCTTGAGCAACCCTGAACCCCAAGAAAAGGTGATAAAAACTGTGGAAGAGAGCTCCAGCGTCACAGGCCAGAAACTTTTGAGAAATACCAAGACCTTCCACGGCTGTTTGAGCTCTGATAATCACTTTATTCTGTGACCTGCCATCCAAACATAAATGCGCTTCAAGGCTTTCACTTAATGCTTCCTTCTCAAGCAGGAAAGGTTAGTTCTATTTGCCCTCACTGATTCTGTTGTTTTTAAAAAGACCCCTTTGTGTAATTCCTACAAAGAAAACAACCTTACGGAGGCAAGGGAGGAAGGAAGGAAGGAAGCTTTGACCTTTTTGTACTAAATGAGTTATTTTACCAATAGCTACGGGTGATTATGTTCCCACCATCCTGAATAGCAACCTTTACACCCACTGGCATAAGTGGAACCACTAGCTACAGCCTAAGGCTTATTGTGAGTGAGTAGAAGAAGAAAAAAATAGGTAGAAAGAGGCTTGAAAAAGAAAAAAGGGAGAGAGAAGCCATCACAAGAAATCCTTCCGCTTACAAGTTTCTTGGTTGAATTATTGCAATATATATGTTTTCTCTACATTTTGGTTTGGTTGTCAAGGAGCTGCGGTTCCATGAGTTACCTGCTTCCTTCAAGGAGCATAGGGAGGCATTAGGAGCAAAGATCTCTGGTTCATTTCCTGAACAGGTGTACAGTAATCTCTGTGGACCTCACATGACCCAGGCCCATACAAACACCTGCACCCTCTACCTGGGCAGCACAAGTGCTAACAAGATCGACTATGGTTACGTTTCCAAGGGAAAGGTGGGGTTCTGATACCTAAATGTGCATTACGATTTCTCAGTTTGGTGTTATAAGGAGCAATCCCACAAAAAACAAGAAAGGTCCTGGAAAATCTCAATGGTGATTACCATACTGGAACACAATGGCAACACCAGTATTTCTGTAAGTAATGTTTGGCAAGAAGAGGACTCCGAGCTCACAAAACCAAACTGGTGAAAATGAACATTTAATACATTGAAAGTACACAAGTATGTAAGCATTATGGAAAATGTAAAACATATAACGTGAACAGTAGCCTTTCATGAATACTTATAGGCAAGTAGAATTTAAGAACAGAAATAAAAAGTGAGAGAATCTTTAAAAATTACTAGTTGTGAGGACTTGAAAATGAAACCACGGTATTTGAACTCTTGTAAAGTGAGTTCTTACACGGCATAAATATTGTTGCCATGGAGTCAGGAGCATTTGGAGGTGCAGATTGTTTTACTGCTAAAGAACTGTACTCCTCAGAAAAATGGCAATGTATTCATGCGTTGGTTCCAAATCTTTTCCTCTGGCTCCTTTGTCTTCTCATAATCCCATCTCTTACTGAGTGACTCGGAGGAATATCACTGAGCTTCATAGTGGTGGGGGCAGGAGGTGAAGCCCATTTATTTATCTCTTGCTGTATGCAGTCTGCTTGAAAGCAGGAAGTAAGCATTTCCCATCTGCCAGCCCCTGCTCTGGTTTCTCCTCTGTGGTAGAGAGAAGGATGTCCAGCTGCCTGTCATCCCATAACTCTCCTAGTACAGTGTGCGAGTCCTGAGGTGACCCCATCAAGTCACCCTGTGTAACCCACTCCTGTGTCCTCCTATAGCCACAGCCTGGCACATGCTCAGCCAGCAGAAGGCGGCGATACCAGTGGCCAGACACTGCCTTGATTAGTTCACTTGCTCTATCAGACTCCATCTTAGCAGCTAAGAGGGAGTTTCTCCTGCTGACTTCCAAGAAATAAGCCACTGTGCTGTGACAGAGCTGTGAGATGCCACCCAGCAAAGAGTAGTGGTTGATGACTAGGAGAGAGAGGGGCTGCAAAAGCCAGCCAGAAAGAAGGTGAGGAACTCAGTCCTCCCATCTCCGTCTCAGTGGGACCCCTCCAACATCCTCATAAGCTAGAACAGGGATGACGAACCTGCCTGTCAGCACACAAGCCAGGCCGCCCCAGCACCTCCCCAGCAGCTGAACACCAAATATTCAGGTTTAACTGCAGTGTGGGCACTTTTTGATCAATAGGTGGGTTTTGGGTTGCAGTTCGGGCACTCAGACTCTGAAAGGTTCGCCATTACTGAGCTAGAAGAGAAACCTCAGGCTCAGGAAGGGACACAACTGGGGGACACAACTGGCACCAGATCCACAGCCCAGGGACACTGCAGGATAACACAGACATGCTAAGCCACTGTATTTGTAACCATTTGTCCTGCAGCGGGAGACAACGAAAGCCATGTGATGAGCCTCCTTGTGCTCCAATAACAACTACCCTTGCAAAGCGGTTCTACTTTGCCAGTGGCTTTGTTCCACTTTCTGAGGGTTGCAGAAATATAGCAGAAGTCTTTATTAATGTGTATACCATTACACAATTCAAATTTTCAGTGCAGAATATAATTCTCTGTGTGTGTCTCAAAACGCAAATGAAGTAGATTCAACATTTTTCAAAATACTAAAATACTTGGTCTTGGGCACTTAAATATTGGAAATTATACCTCCAAACTAGTTTTTTCAAACTATTTGTTTGTTGTTTTTAGTTTTAGGAAAGAGGTATACTTCATTTTCTAAAATAAGCTTTATTTTCAAATACTTATAGAGTTCTGGAATTCTTGTGAAGATAGTAAGCTCCTCTGTACCCTGTGCCCAGTCTCCTGACTAGTAACATCTTACATTACTATGGTACCTTCACCATGGTTAACGAACCAACTTTAATACACCAGTAGTAACTCATTTCTATTTTATGTCACATCCAGTGACATCTGACTCGGGAGCTCATACAGGACACCACATGACATACAGTCACTACGTCCGCTTAGCTGACCCCGGCTGGGACAGTTTCTCAGATGTAGCTTGTTTTTAATGACCTTGGCAGTTTCAATGAGAACTGGTCCGATATTCTGTAATACACCACAAAGGCCGAAGAGCCTTTCTCCTCGCCTATCAAATGCACCCTTCACGACTGTTGACGTTAACCTTGAGACTCCGGCTTGAGATAGCACGGATCAGGTTTCTCCGCTGTTTCTTCTCCCTGTCTCTTTTGCAACGTTGGAAAGGAATTCACTGTGTGTAGCCTCCCCCGGGAGTCAGCTCTATCTCTTGAAAGCCAGAGTATTATATCCTTAATTGGAATTCTGCGTGGGAGATCTGTCCACTTTCCTCATATATTACCTTATTTCATCATTTATTTATACAAGTAGAGTCTGTATTGTTTACTTTCAGTTTTATCTCAGTATTATTTATTTGTATGTGCTCAGGTTGACCCAGCTGTGGGGCCCTTCCCATTGGTGCCTGCGTTCCCTTGACGCACACCTATCCCTGTGAATTTCTTTTCTTCATTTTCTGGCAGAGTGAGATACTCTAGGCTCATCTCATGTGTTTCCAACCTCAGAGATAAATCAGCCATTTCTCCAAGGGGCTCTGCTTCTTTTTACTGAAAAATATTACCAACCACGATCCGGGAAGCAATGACCTTACTGTCAGGAAGATGTCATTGCTTCTAGTCCAAGCTAGTTTTTTTATCTCTGCGTATGGAGCCTTGGAATATCTCTACATTCTTAATTTATTTTAATTTATTTAACAAGTATTATTGTGTACCCAGCCTTTTTTTTAAGTACTCTGCATTATGAACTCCTTTAACCCGTATAATAATCACATAGCACAGCAAGATAGTTAAAATGCCACTTGTTAGACCTGTTTTATGGATGAAAACACCAAGGCACAGAGAGATTTGGATATATGCCCAAAGTGGCAGAGCCATGACCCAAACCTAGGCATCCGGACCCAGATTTGGAGCAGTAACCGAGGCTCCCCGTTGTCCCACAGCATTGAGAACCTCACAGAGCTGCCACCCAACGGTGATGAATGAATGAACCCGCCCACTCCTCGTCTAGGAAGTGTCCGTTAGGGCCATGAGGCTCCAGACTGTGCTAAGTTAACTGTTCCTCAAGGCCATGTGAAATTCCCCCCAGACTCTAGCCCCATGCGATGTGAAGGAGGAGCCCACTGTCATACACCTTCAGAGAAGATTCCTGCAGCACCCAGGGACAGAGAGGTCACAGAAAACCACTCCACTCGTGGCTGTAAATATACCTCACTATGCCACAGGTCACATTCAAGGGTGATATGCAGTACTTCGTTTCATTTCTATCCATTTATTATTGCCATGAATTTTTAAAGGGGCTCATATCTTTTCTATATATGAACCTCCAATTCATTATGCTATTCTCCACTGGTAAATATTTGAAGAAAACTATCTATGAAAAGCACTAAACAAAAACTAAGATTTCCATTTATAGCTAACTAAGAAGAAAATGTTAAGGGTGTAGTTATATCGTGGCTGTCACTAGCAGGTGGACCCAAGAGACCCAAGTTGAGATGATTTGTAAGAAAACATGCAAATGCTGACTGCGAATCTCCTAAAGGTTTCTAACATGTTAAACATGTTAAACACCACCTCGTCTAGCGGCAGAGCACCGTGAGACTTCCCATGACTGGGTTTGTTTGTCAGTAATGCCTTTTGGAAAAGGCGGTGCAAGTTGGGACGGGGGTGGGACTCCACAAAATACACTCCCCTAGAAGCAAAGGCAGAGGGTGGGAAGTTGCAAAGTCTGGAATCAAGTACTTGTTCATGTTTATAAACTCCTTGGAAGAGGGTTCCAAGATTCAAATGAAGGACACCCAAGATCAAGTTCCAAGCAGGCACTAAACCAGCTGCTTCCTGAAGTGCAGAAAGGGAGGGACAGATGTAGTCCCTGCAAGGCAGCAGTGAGACGCCACAGTAAACCCGGTGAGTAAGTGGGAATAAAGGTCTGCTAGACGGACTCGCGGGGCAGGCGGTGTCGGCGGAAGGGCAGACTGAGCGTTCAGCTGTGGGAACTCTAACTTAGCAAGTCCGACTGAGGAGGATGAGGGTGTTGCCTGCGGAGTGCCACCAGGAACCTGACATTTAAAGCCTCTCTTGGAGGAGAACATACTTTAGCACCTCCACGGCTACCAGTCTAGACATCGAATGGGCCTTTCCAGTCAGTTTCAAAACTATAGAAAGAACCAAAGCCCTCCAAGAAGATCTGGGTAAAATACAATCCCAAAGCACATAATTGCATTGTTAAATATCAGTGTCACTTTTATTGGGAATAAAACCCAAGAACTACGCAATTGCTAGGATTTCTAAATATTCATTTTCATCCAATCAATTGCAATAATTCAGCAGAAAATGTGTATCAAGCTGACATGTGAGGGAAAAAAGCACTGATGTCTGTGTCTTGGATGACGTGATCACGACAAAAAGAACCTTGGTCAGGGACACCAAAGCCTCACATTCTTCTGAATTAGAGGAATTAGTTAGCAGAGAGCCGGGTATATTTAAAACAGAAATTAGAGCTGTGCCAGACAGCTAAGAAGTGTGTCCCTTTGAGTACAGAATATCGGTCATGTGTTTCCATGGTAAGGACTGCGGGAAAGTTCTGAGCCTCGAGTGTTTTAGGAATGATAGCTATGGTTTTATTTTTAGTTCCAGCAATCTAAGGATTCTGACTCCAGATGGGTTCTGAATGTTTTCCTTGTCCGCATAACCTGTACACTGAATAGATACAACAGAAGAGGGCTGGCTTCATCAAAGGTAATCTTTCCAAGCACAATTTTTAAGTGAAAAAGAAGCATGGTGAGGGTTTTATATTTTTTCTTTTCATCTCAAATTTACTACGTTGACATTGAAACATATTATAACTAGAAAACATGCCATGGTAAGACCTTCACGCTGCTGAGATGTGCAAGCAAGTCAGAGTGGTTCCTGATGGTGTCTGAGACCAGGAGAGTGTGCTCTCTGAGCCGTGGGACAAGTATCCTTGGTGTGTTCACAGGAGACTGAATACACCCTATTTGTCAGTTTTGTTTTTTTTTTTTTCTCAAAGATTGATGAAACAATGACAGAAGTGGGGTGAAAGGAATGTGGACGTGTAGAGTATATCCCAGCTATATTTACAGAATGGCTGTTTCCACTGAAACACCTACAAACAGAAACATTTTATACTGTACATTTTTGTCCCTCCAAAATTCATGCTGAAATTTCCCCTCCCATGTAATCATACTAAGAGGTAATGAGGTCCTGAGGCCCTCGTGCAGAATCCAGCCCTCTCATCCTCTGTGCCTTCCTCCAGGTGAGCTTGCTGCCCTGAAGGCAGAGAGCTGCCCTGCGAGACACCAGAACTGCCAGCGCTGCGACCCAGGCTTGGCCACCTGTGGAACTCTAAAAATTAAACTTCTGTTCCGTGCCAATGACCCAGCTTGAAGTGTTCTGTTACAGCAGCGTGAGTGCGCTGAGACACCTGCACATGCATCTTCTGATTTAAATTGTGACTTGAGGGCAGCAAGGAGGTACAGGAGAAGGAACACAGGAGTGAAGGTCAGAGGCCTGGGCACTGACCCCACCACATTTGCCAACAGGAGGATGAGCTTGGAGCCATCATGCACTGTCCCAGGCAGGGATGTGACTCACTTCAAAATCCCTTCCAGTCAATGTAACATTTCCTGCAGCTTGGTCTTAACTTGTCCTTTCAGAGCTCTACCTGGAAGTTTATGAAAACAGGGAAAGTCAAAAGGCTAAGTTTACTCCTTCAAGTAGTCTGAGGTGGATCCCTTTGTAACAGTGATCATGCTAAAAGTACTTTACACAGCTTAGTTTGCATATACAAATTTCAAAGTATATATGCTCTTGAAGAGATAAAAGTCTGAGAGCATCCAGATTAAAAAAAAACAAACAGCTTTGGATATTACATGAAGACTTTGAGTGGTTACCACCATTTGACCACTGTTCCTAACCATCCTACTAGTTCAGGCCAGTGGTGAATGCAGTCGTTTCTGGTCTGTCTTTATGGTATCCAATGTCTCACCCAGAATACGGCATTTTTATTGAGCAATATATTTTAACAAGAACTTGTAAATACAGTCAACAGCTCTTTACATTTAGTTTTAACTTTATCTAATAAATTTGGCAATTTGTACGTCATAATCCAACCCTAACTTTCTGCAGGAAATGGAAAAGGCTTAACATTTATTCATCTGGGCGAAAATGCACTGTGCTCCAAAACACAATTAAACTGGAAATAGATGACATTAGTCCTCTCAGGGGCATTTCACATAAGCTAAATATACTCACGCAACTGAGCTAACCACTGCAAACACGGCCACCATCAAGACCTGAGCCGCGGCAAGAGCAGCCCCTCTCCCACCGCCACGAAAGGCCACACGTCCCCCCACGGAGGAGGCCACGTCTGAACCCCAGGCAACCAGCACCACTCCAGCCACACACACGTCCATGAGAAAGGTCCTGAAGCTTTGCATCATCTTGCTTTCTGCTTTTGCACTGAGTCTTTTAAAGAGCATTGGTCTCATTCTATGCACTTTAGTAAACCCGGGCATTAAATCTGGATGGAGCCGATGTGTTAGGGTTCTAGCTTCCTCTGGCACCCTGTAACGGGGCTGGACACTGTTGGTGTGCACAAGGCTCTGGCTTCAGCTCCCAGCACCAGAGCAAAGCAGAGCAAAGCAGAGCAAAGCAAACCGTTGCTACTGCCGCCACTACTCACGCACAACCTCGCTTGGGCTGAGCCCTCCCCTGAGGTTCCTCCAGACGCTGTGTCATTCTTATGTCACGATTTGGATGCTTCAGTTGTGAAGGGCAGATATTGTTCCTATTTAAATCTCAGAGTTGTTCTTAAATTCAGAAAGCATATCTGACAAGAAGAAGAAGAGGAAGAGGAAGGAGAAGGAGGAGGAGGAGGAAGAGGAGGAGGGAGAGGAGAAGAAATAGAAACCAACCTGATTCCAGACATGACAAGTTGGCTTCATTGCAGATTAAACAGATGTCTTATTTAGCCAACTAGTCAGTCAAGACCAGTAAAGAGCCAACAAGGCAGCCAAGAATGACTCTCCCTGCTGTCCAGGCTGTCTCCAGTGCCCTTGGGAGAGTGACCAGCTGGCTCACCTGCAGAAAAGGTGGTCACCCAAGTGCCATATGACAAAGGTGTTTACTCAGCTGTGTTGGCCACAAGTCGGGGGCTAGGACCTTTGAGGTGCCCGTTCCTATTGGAGGGAGACTGTATAGTGATTATGGCAGAGAAGTAAGCAAAGTCATCACAACAGGATCCATTGAAGGACGGGCTCATGTAAACATAAATAACCAACCCCAGCAATAGCCTTCCTATCTCCCGGGTTTGCTCTTCAGCATCAGACAATTACCACCATTGTCCCTTGATGTTCTGTGGCTTGGACTACCTGTCCCCTCTCCAGGAAGTAAGCCCTCCAAGGCATGGAAGCTTTTGGTTCACTGAAGTAAAGCAGCTGCAGAACTGAGCTAGATGCCTAGCAGTGTTCTGTAAGTATTTGTTGACTGAATGAATGGAGGGAGGAGAGTGAGGAGAAGGCAGTCCTGCAGGGCCTTTGGGAAGAGCCTACGGGTGGTGGGGGGAACTCATTCAAAGGCCCAGGGGCAGCAAAGGGTCTGGGTGTGTCCATCTGAGCAGCACACACAGGGGGGATTAGCAAGAGCTGCATTTACCTGGATAGGCAGAGCTGTGTGGAGCTGGCATTGCATTCTTCTCTGACTCCCAAGAGAGAACATTCTAAAGAAAGTAAACCTCAGAATGGTGGGACAAAGCAGTGTTTTCACAAATACTTCTGCATCCACTGCCTGCCTGCAAGGCTGTTCATGCACCCAGCCTGCACACTATGGAAACCTTTCCAGGGTGCAGGTGGCATGGCCAGCCCAGAGCTGACGGGGAAGTGACCGAAATGATAACGAACAACTTCTCACCACCTGAGAGACAGCCATCACGCCTTCACTGTATGGGCGAGGAGACCGCGTCTCAGCAGTCCCACGGCTGAGCAGAACCTTGAGGATTTACGGCCAGACTTCTCTGACTGTAACACTTGGTCTTGACCATGATGTACATTTCCCCTCATTTTAGCAACAGGGGTCACTGGTGACCTTGACTGAAGGTCTTGGCAGAGCAGTGGGGATGAAGTTCTCAGTGGAGTGGAGTCGGGAGAGGGAACAGAAACAAGAAGCCCAGACAACTTTTTACCATCAAGGGGAGTAGAGAGTGGGGCTGTGGCTCGTGGAACCAGGAGACTCTCATGTTTGTAAGATGGGGAGAAGGAGCCTGGAAGCCAGGAAACCAACCACTCCAGGGTGAGTGCGCACCAGGCCAAGGCCCAGGTCCTACGCAACAGAGCTCATAGGATCCAGTGCTCCAGTCGGGGGAGAGGTGCTTGGCCTCCTGCTCCTGAGAATGACTTTGGGCCCGAAGAAAAAAGAGCAAAATGCAACCAACAATAACAGATCCTTCCCAAAACAAAATGAGTCAAAATCTCTCATGGGGAGGCCTGCACTCAGTTTTGTTTGCTTGCTTGCTGGAGCCCCAGTAGCCGTTACTGTGTGACCAGAGTTGAGTATGACTGGACTAGGGAGCTTTAGACTCACAGGACTCCAAGTCCCTTCCACGCAACCTGGTCTCCATCCAGCTGGTCCCCATCCAGCTGGTCCTCACTTCCTGCCTGAGCAACTGAGCTGTAAATCTAGACCTAGGCATTTCCATCTTCCCTATTCAATCATTCATACATTTGTTCATTCATTCAATCTTACTGACTTAGAATCTAGCTTATTGAGAGAATTAAAAATTTTGTTTCATGACATTGGATCTATCTCTAATATGATTACCAAATCTTCTCTGTCTTCCCATAAATGACCAAGCTGTTAAATGAATCTAACCAGAGAGATCCTAAAGGAAGAGTGAAATTCTCAGAAAGAGAGACTTCTATCTGACTATCCAGTACTCTTCGGGTCACACCTGCATCGCCATCCAGGAACTGTCACCTTTCCTATTCCTACTTCCCACATCCAACAGCTAATGATAGTCCGCCATGGGCTAGGTCTTGTACTAGCTCACAGGGATGAAAATGTTTCCAAGCCAGGCATGGCTTCTGCCCTCCCGATGCTTATATATCTGTGCGGAGACAAGCGAATGAAGAATTCACCAAAATGGTTAGGTTTGTGGTAAGTGTGATAAGAGAAATACTGGGAAACAATAACTGGAAAAAATGGTTCCCCAAAACCACACAGTGGCCCCAGGTCTCAGCTGTCCAGAGGGCCGTTACGGAAGACTTGGAGATGCTGCTTCTGGAACACAGAGACCCTGAATCTAACACATCCTGTCCACTGACCTGGCTTTGACACAGCAAGGAGCCTGGCTGCTTCTCTCTGGCTCTTTGCAAAAGTTCGCATAAGCCATCTGTTAAATAGTCTTCCCAAGGCCGAGTGAACTCAATTAGCAATTGTCTCAAGAAGCCATAGTCTCATCTGGACATCAGAACATTTGGGCCATTAGATTGTGACCAGTCATGGAAAATGACTGCTACTTATTTATATTGTATAGGTATAAACACATACATATGTACAGTTGAAGATTCGCTTAAATATGTTGTGTGCAGTACTGCATTTGCCTTTTATGATCTCTTCTATGGCATGTACACCCATTCCTTCCTAAGGGGTCAGGAAGCTACAGCCCAAAGGGGTTACGCTCCTCTGAGGTTACAGAGCACTTTGGTGAAGTCTTGGAGATTTTAATCCAGACAATCTGACTCAGAGCCAGAGCTCCTCTACAGAGCCTCATAATGGTCCTGTTCTCCACGAGACCCAGCCTTAGTTTCAAGGTCATACATATTTTGATCATCATATGCATAAAAGTCCAAACTGTAGCACGAAGATGGCCAAGTACACAGCACAATCCAACTCGGTCCTGCTATTTCTAGTTACTTTTCAATAATTCTGAAGAAAAAAGCTAATGGTAAAAATTTGCAAGATTCTACACACACACGCAGTAAGCAATTGCATCCATGGGAGTGGCAAACAATGAGAATGACTGGTGGTGTGGGCTCAGCCTGAGGATTGTGACTGGGCTGAGCACAGGGCTGACCCCATTGCCTGCTAATTACCTGGTGATCATAGCATCTTTCTGGCTTTGCCCAGGGCGTGGGTCATCCTTGTAGTCACTGCTGAAAGTCAAACAACTAAGTCTTGCTTGATTCAAAGGATGGAGTATGTATGAAATAGCTATCATTATTAACCACCTTCTCTTATCCTGGATACACCAGTGTTTGGGCCCCACTGGGATTTGCAAGTGGAGGGAGAAGTACTTTCTCATTATGAGAAGGCAAGACTTACCTCTGTGCCCTGGTGCCCAGAGGAAAATTCTTCTACTTCAGTAACTGGGTGCCAGGGCCTTTGTGGCTGTCAATGGCATTCAGTGAATTAATGAAGGGACAGGAAATAAGAGCTGCAGTGACAGTGTGAACGAGGATCCCGGGAGTGCAGGTCTTTCCCACAGTCCCTGTGCTCAATGGCCGGCACTTTCTTCCATTCAGTGCCCAATTTTCCCAGTGTTAGAGAAGCTCACAGAGGCGGATTCGTGGGAGGAAAAGCACATCCTAATTGATGAGATGTCTGGATCACAGGCGAGTTTTAATGACGCCTTTGTAAACCATGCAGAAATTGCATAGGAGCCAGTGGCTGGCATTCCTAAACAGGTTGTCTCCCCAGCCCTCTCAGTGCCCTAGAGCGTGACTATTTGAAGGAGACCTGTTTCTTTATTTGCAAATTGGCATTTCCAAAAGCTTTAAGTAGCTCAACTTTTCTTCTTATCTTCATTCTGGTTGACAGAAGAATTACTTAGCTAATCCTTTTTTTCTCAGCAAAAAAATTAAAAGAATTTCTGCTCAACCCTATCTGAACAGCACTGATTCAGTAGATTGAATTGGTGAGGTTTTGTAATAATTAAATTTAGTGTATTTATCAACACACAACACAATGGTCTTGTTGTGCTGACAAGCCTGGCGGTTGCGGGGGGAGCCACAAATGTTTCTATACTGGTGCTGAAGCTGAGATTCAGAGCCGTTAAGTAACAGCCTCAAGGCCAAGACAACCTACAGAGCGGGGAAAAAAGTGTTGCCCGTTATTCCTCAGACAGATGACTCATATGTAGAGTATATAAAGAATTTTAAAAATTAGAGGCCCCCAAAATAAAAGACACAATTAAAAAATGGGCAAGTGAAATGAGTAGATACTTCACAGAAGAAGTACCAATGGCTACTAAATACATGAAGGAGTGTTCAACATCTCTGGCTACCAGAGAAGCTCAAATTTAAAAAACACTGAGATTCCATCTTACCCCCAAAAGAATGGTTATCATCCAGGAATCAAATAATGATAAACGCTGGTGAGGCTGTGGGGAAGAAAGAACCCTTCTACACTGTTGGTGGGAAAGTAAACTAGTAAAACAATTGTAAAAATCAGTACAGAGATTTTCAGGAAACTAAAACTAGAAATTCCATTTGACTGGGTATCTTCTCAAAAGAGTTAAAGACATCATGTTACAGTGATGTACATAACAGCTCGATTTATAATAGCTAAATTCTGGAACTAGCCTATATGTCCATCAACAGACAAATGAATGAAAAGAACCTAGTGTCTACACACAATGGACATTGACCGTATAATGTTAAATATCACACAAGCTTAAACATCACACAGTTCCTCTTATATGAGAAACCCAAAGTATAAATACAGAGCAAAGTAGAAGATAGATAATAGGAAGTAGGGAGGTAAGTCTTTCTCAAAAGAGAAGGGGATCAAGAAAGGGGGATGGGAGGGGCAGGGAAGGGGATGAAAAGCATTACGATGTGTTTGTCCACACACCAGCTCCACACAAGGCAGGTAGATGTTATGTACTGCAAACTTGGATTAATAAAAAAATGAAATAATAAAATTATCTGAAAAAAAAGATCAGACAGAGGCAAGGAGCAGGGTGATCCCAGGCCAGTTTTACTTGAAAGCTTGCAAAACTTTCTCTGTTACTCGGTAAAGCCCGGCTCCTCAGCAGCCCTCGTGGTGCACTGCAGGGCTTTTGGATGAGGGCGGTAACTGTACCTTTACCGCTATTTTTTAATCACTTAACATTCTTTTCAAGGTGCTTCTTTGCAAGGTGCTTCTAACGTTCTCTTCAATTGTGCTTCTTTGAATCCATATTTTGAGCACAGCAGATTTTTCTCCATTTGCCACTTTGAGAGCAGGAGCACCTAGAAGAATGTTCTGAATGTGGCATTTTAAGTGAATCTCAAACACTTTCAAAGGGTAAGTTATTAAGGCAAATATTTAAGAAAAATCAGTCACCTTCGGCAGCAAAAGGAAGGGCTTGGCTTATAGACTAAGGAGTAGTTCTTGACAATAAGATAAGGTATGCACTGAAAGAGAGCGAGGAAATGTGAGGGCATCCGCACGCAGAGACAGAGCACCATAGACCTCAGACATGTGCATGGAAGCACAAGGGTGCTCCATTGAGACGACCTTGATGCGTCCCCACTGAATGATGATACCGACGGTTCCAATGCAGATATACCCAGCATCTGTGTGACCTCCAGAACTTGACCTTTTCTTCCCCCAACAGAGGCCGTGCACACAGCAGCAGGCTGGCCAGTCTGGGGACGCTCAGTGGGCCCACACAGCCCAGTGAGCACATCTGCTAAGTCTAACACAGAATGAGACGAGGGTGTGCTAGGTTTGGACAGAAGATGTGCAGAGCATCACAGCACAGTGAATGAATGGCACAGAACCAGCTCGCCAAGGTAAATGTGAGCGTGGAACACAGCCGGACAGTTTGGGACAACCAAGGACAAACATGGAGGCGGCCAGAGGGCCGAACAAGCCCTTGAGTCAACAGAACTCACCACCGAAGCAGGAAAAATATTTTAAGTGGAATGAAGAAAGTTTAAGTCATTTGTAGGAAAATGGATGCACCATGAGACCATGATGTTAAGTGAAATAAATCAGACTCACATCTTAAAAATCCCATGGTTTCTCTTCTATGAGAAACCCAAAGCATAAATGAAAAGCAAAGTAAAAGATAAATAATAGGAGGTAGGGAGAGAGATCTTTCTCAGATGGGAAGGGGGCCAAGAGATGGAGGGAGGGGGAAGTGGATGAAGAAGGAACAAGATGTGTTGTATACGGGGCCAACTTCACACAAGGAATGCAGACATTTACTACACACACGTACTAACAGGGAAAATAATTTGGGGAAGAGGAAAAACACTGTCGGGAAGCACGAATAATACATTTAGGATTTTAATCCAGCATGAAATAACAACAAATGTGATAGAGAAATTCCACAGGATAAATTTCCCGCAAGAGGTAGTTGAGTTAAACTCCTGAAGTTTCAAAAGTCGTCCATTCTTGTCTTTTATCAGAAATCCAGCGGGACATCCGTTCGCTCCTTCACTCTTTCTAGAAACTAGTGCTCTGGGTAATTGCAATGCAGAGTGTAAACTGATAGGGAGCGGGATTCCAAAATAGCATCCACGCACCCCTCCAACCAAAATGACAAACAAAGGCTCATAGTGCCATTTCGCGGGCATCCGTCATGTGTAAGAGCCCCAAAGGTGTTTGTGGGCGTAGGGATGACAGGCGACGCAGAGAGGTGATGGAAAGCACCCTCCCAACCTTGACAATGGCAATTTCTGAAACAGGTCACCATGTGACGTCTGCCCTTTACGGTCACCGATGTCTCTCAAGCACCAGCCCCACAGTGTCGAAGTACAAAAAGATAGGTCTTACGGAAGGAAACCGAAAACCATAAACGGCAAATTGATAATCATTTCTTTTTTTTTTCCTTCCCCCAAACACTTGAAGTCATCAGCTGGTTGAAGATATTTACCTTCACCTGAGCGAGTCACCTTTCACAGCAAACAGAGCTTCATGGTGCTTGAATTTCATTTGGAATTGAGACTATAAAGTCGACATTTGAAGCCAGGCAAATATCTTACGTAACGTGGTGCGAAAGGGAGAGGACTTGAGTCTCACTTCATCACTCATTCCAAATAGCGCGAAGAGCTGGTATGAAGAACCGGTTCTCACCCACTCCCGGTGCCGTGCGTAGATTCAAGTCCTGGCTCTGCACTTGGTAACCATATGAGGCGACGAGGACAGACAGATGTCCCCTAAACCCGAGCCTCCCCCCATCTGCTGCACAAAGAACTCCACCAATGAGCCGTGAGGCATTATCTGGAGGCCAACCCCTTGCTGTGGGATGGAAATTTTTCACCATGGCAAATCTCAAACAATTAATTACCTGCTCTTATCTGCAAAGAGCTCATAGACCAGTATGGAAAACAGAAAGCGAACAAGGACTGTCCGGGTTGAGAAAGACAGGGAAGGAATGGCCCATGTACCAGGGAACACAGCGGAGGCACAGCCTGGTGTTCCCCGTTAGATAATAGAGAATAACAATAAGATGCAACATAGCGTAGCAACGTCCGTATTCACTGATAGCAGACCTTGGCGCAGGGAAGACTCCATGATTCCACGCTCCACCTAACAATGCTTCCAACTCAGAAGAGAGAAGAGAGAACATTCACTGAAGGCTCACTGTGGGGGAGACCTGATTCTAAGGGCTTTGCTTTAATTCAGTTGGCCCCTACAACATATCTATCTACATTTTGTATGCTCCATCTTACCGACAGAGAAGGTCCGTTCGCTTTCCCAAGCTCCTATAGTCAGAGGCGGCTGAACCGGTGCGGGAAACCAGGGACCCTGGCTCACGCTTACCCTGCAGGCCGCATCCAGCCCCGCATAACTCCTGCACACTTGACCAGAGGCGGGTGTCACAGGCCGGCCCGTGTTGCAGGTGGCACCTTTGGATGCTCCCTGGTTAAATGCACGACACGGGAGTGCCGGGGCAAACACAGCGGCAGAGAAGCGGGAGGACAGATGCTGTGACGTCACAGAGCAGCCACCCCAGGCCTGGTGCGAGCTCGCTTAAGGAGGGGACATCCACCGCAGCAGCGCATGCTGGCTTCTCTACCGCCCCAGAGGCACACCCCTGCCCCCTGTGCCCAGGAGGCTGGCCTGTATGGCCGGTACTACCTGGCACCCCCTGCCAGTGGAGCAGTGCCATGGGGGCATCAAAGGGTGGAAGAGAGACTCTGAGGGGCTTCTTTATTCCATCCCCCCTTGCCCCACGCTTCTGAGAGTGGCTGCATCCGTCTCCATCCACCTTTAAGAAAGAAAATTGATATTTGCACACAAAGGAGTACCGCTGTGCCATAAAGAAGGATAAACTTCAGTCATCTAAAGGAAAATGGACAGTGCACTGTGAGACCATAATGAGAAAGAAATCAGGTAAAACAGCTTAAATATCACACGGTTTCTCTCACACGGCAAATCCAAAGTATAAGCAAAGAGTGAAATAAAAGATGGTAATAGGGAACAGGGAGAGAGATCTTTGCAAATGGGAAGGGGACCAAGAGACAGAAGGCAGGGAGCGAGAGAGAAGGGGACGAACAAAGCAGGGAGATGTGTTATGTATACACACCAAGGCCCCACAATGAATGTGGTCATTATGTGTTGCAAACGCAGAGTCATTAAAAAGCAAAGGAAGAGTGGCTCCCACCAAGGTCCTTTCCACATTTCCACCGGCCTGTGCTGCGACTCTCCCTTCTGACCCAGGAGAAACGACGGCTTCCCACCATGGTCCTCTGCTCCAGTCTGCACCCCTCCAGAGACGCCCCCCACTGGTCATCTTTCAAATCCTAACCTTGTAGCCTTTTCCTTCGGTCCAGGCTGATGTGCAGCAGACCACGAAATGGGGAACAACTAGCCCCGAAGTCAGCAAGCGGAGCACCTGAGATCAGGGCAATGCTGCAGCCTGGCTGCAGAATGCTTGCCTGGCACATTCAAGTCCTCGGTTCCATCCCCAGCCCTGGGGGAGGCGCGAAGAGCCTCAGTGACACATGCGCGAAGAGCCTCAGTGACACATGCGCGAAGAGCCTCAGTGACACATGCGCGAAGAGCCTCAGTGACACATGCAATGGCTAGGCCTTTCCTCCCCCTGGTACTCTTCCCCCAGGTGCATTTCATCCATGCTCACTTTGAGGCCCTGCTCTGTGCCTGCGCCAGGCTAGGCTTTAGGAATGGCGAGGAACAACATTCCACAGCCCGGTAGGCAGAGTAGCGGGTTAGGGAAGTTAGCAGGCGAGGCAGGGGCTACTGCGGAATAGATCAGCACATTTAGAACTCACCAAGTAAGCTTACAAATTGCAAACTACGTCAGAAGGGGAAAGGAAAGATTGGGAGGAGCTGAGAGAATAACAAGAGATCCCATTTAGAAGTTCATCTTTATTTCATGACTGGAATCGCTATTGGCCCAACTATTCACCTCACAGATGGAGAGACCGATCCAGAGGAAATTAAACTGCCGTGAACATGGAGAAAAGGGGACGATAAGCAGGGCCAGGTGAAAGCGTCTGGCTGACGCTGACCCCGTGCCTCCTCCGACCTCCCCTCTTCTGCTCCTGCGGATGGGCCAGGCCTGGCTTTGCCACAGACCCGTGCGGAGGCTGAGTCTGACAGTAGCCAGGCTCAGTATGGGCCCTGAATGCCAGTTCTGCTCTCAAAGCTTCCTCAGTCTCCAAAGAACCTGTCTCCTGCCGGGCAAAGATTTTCATGTTGGAAGACCTGGGAACCGAGGTTAGGTGGGGCACTGCTCGCCACCTTCCGTCAGTTTGGAAACGTGTCCCTTGCACTCCCCTTCTTCCACACTTGGAGACCCCTGCACAACCCCACCCAGCTCACCGCTGCTCTCTCAAGCACCAAGGTCAAAGTTAACAGGGCAGCGGAATTTAGGAGCAAGAAGGGGAGGAGAGTCTATCTTTCGCCTTCTTGTTCCCTGACTTCAATAAAGCAAAGATTTGCCTTCAGCGTTGCCTTCTTCCTTGGTGCTCCAGGAGGGACAAAGGAGCAATGAATTTGGGGGTCCTGTTTTGGGGATGCACATGTTTTATATAGCATTCATTTAATATTCAATGAATAATTATTGAGCTGCCATCAGGGGCCAGACATTGAGCTCGTTCCAGTGGATGCACTAATACGCTAGACTCACATGGAACCTGGCCTGAGGGGTTTCCAGTGCAGCCAGAGAAATGGTTAAATAAGCAATTGCAAGAAATTATAGCAAGTGCTACACAGGGCAATAAGGAGCGCTTAACCAAGACAAGGGAAGTCAAGAAAGGCTTTCCAGGAAAAGTCTTTGCTTTTAACTAGTATTTGAGGAATGGCTAAAAGCTGAAAGTGGGTTGAAGGATTGAGAGAATTTTCAGGGCAAAATTACAGCTTCGTGTACAAAGGTGGGAGAGTGAAAGGGCTGCACTGTGGGCGCAGAAAGAGGCAGAGGAGAAAGCAGGGTGGACGCCGAGGGTGAAGAAGCAGGACAAGCCAGGTCCTGTCCAGCCCTGGGAGCCCAGGCAGAAACAGCGACCTTTGTCTTAAGGTCTCTAGGAGTCTTTGACAGTGCTAAGCAGGAAGGTGCACGATTCGTGTGTGTCCGGGAAGGTCATGCTGGCTGCAGCTTGAGCTCAGGACTGAAGATTGTAAGACTGGAAGAAGGAAACGGACCGTGCAGGGAGGCACCGCAGCGACCCAGGCCAGCGGCAGGGAAGCCTGGGCTGGGAGAACGGCCCACGGTGTACAGCCCTGGGCAACACTGAGCGGGCAGGACATTTGGGGGGCTGGAGGGGTAAAGCAGGTGCATAAGGAGACCCAAGGGCGGTCATGTGCTTCTCACCTGCCGACTTTGGTGAAGGGTGCTTCTGGAAGGAGCAGGCTTAGGCGTTTAGAAGAAAAAATGGTGAGTGAAGTTCCTCAGCTCAGGATTGGGAGAGATTTCAAGGTCTCTACATGAAGACAGAAGGTCACCGAATAATCCCATCTGGGATCTGAGAGCCGCGGCTGCACACAGGTCCAGAGCTTGTCACCATATAGACGGCCACTAGAGCCAGAGACATGGGGTGTCTGCTGAGAGACAGGGAGCCAGGCGCAGAGAATTCTGGGGCCAAAATGTGACATCTCCAGAGGGAGATGACGGCGGGGTCCCGGAAGTCAGTTCACGCCTCTGAGTGCAGGGCACTGGGCCCCTGCAGACCCTGGGGTAGCACTGTGCTCAGTCCTGGCTCTTTGGATCAGTAAGGAGGATGAGCTCGGCCAACTTACTTGATGTCCTCAGTTCCCACACTTTAAAATGACAGTGAAAGCAGCTGTGGAACACACTTCATAGGGTCATTCTGAGGACTCAATGGCTTAAGATGCACAGCGTGCTTATAACCAAGCCCGGCAGGCACCAAGTGCCTGGAGGTTCACCATCAAGGGCGTCTCACAGGAAGTGACCCATAGAGTTCACTCAGTGGGGCTGACACAATGCATCCCAGTAGTGAAGGACACATGCGTGGACTGCTCACCACCAACTCACCCACACACACTCCTTACATTCCTAAGGGCCTCCGCGTGAGACTTGTACCGGAAGAGAGCACTGAGTTAGCAAACCTTTGCTCCCCTTTACCTTTCCAGTCATGCAGTGAAAAAGGAGACCTACTTTTTTCAGCCAAAAGATCAAGAAAATCATGTGAGGTCACACAGAATGGAAGCAGCAGAACAAGAATCATCTCAGGTCATTCCTGCCTGGAGATACATGGTTCTCTGTCCCCAGAGCCTTCCAAAAGCTTTCCGCTGTGTTCTGAGGTGCTTTCACTCCAGTGACTTCTGCCACCTAGCTGTGGTTGCCTAAGGCTGTTAGAGAGGCCATGGCCTCAACAACTTAAGCACAGAAATGTCATAGCTCTGCCAGCACTCCTGTCCCCATCTTCCAGAGGGCCGGTGATTTGGTCAATCACATCTGAAAACACTAAGTTGCAGGCCAAACAATGACTAACAAAGTTTCCTTTCGCCCCATTATTTCCAATGAAGTAACTGAAAAAGCATGAAGACAACCAACATAGACCAAATACATACATTTTGTATTATTTCACATTTCTAAAAAATGTTTTTGTTAGTCCACATCTGCAAACAGAATGATCGCATCCCTCGGGGGCTGGTGCATGGACATCACACGTCTCCATCCTTTTCACGTTCCCTTCCTCCTCTTTCCCTCCATGTCTCGGCCCCCTTTCCATACACAAAATCTTTCCCATTTCACGGCACCATAAGAAAATCTAATTAGTTATTATGTCAGAGAGAGAAAGAAAGAGAGAGGAAGAGAGGAAGAAGACCAAGGAGGAGGAGAAAAGATTGTCCAAATGGTCCTTACACCTCGGGTTCTGATCACAGCTGGAGATGTGACACATTAGAACACCGGCAGGACTGACGCTTTCTTAAAAGTTATTTGTGTTCCTGAGGACCCAGCATCAAGCAGAAGGGTTCTTCTTGCTAACGCTGTGATCCCACTCACACTCCAGACCCAGAGGTGAGTCGCCAGGCCACCAGCCACTTTCTTACAGTCCTTCACCAACGTCTCCGGGCAACAAGGGGCTCTGAGAAGAAGTAATGAGATCCAGAGTGGCTGGATAGGAAACAATTGGTCCTACTCGCTCCCGAAGCCCTACAGAAATGACAGGGAAAGGATTTTATGACCAGCATAAACCCACAAGCACAAAGAAACATGAAACAACAGTGAGGAAATTTGGAAGTTGGAAAGCAGATGTGCAAGGGGTGACTGACTGGGCAAACCTGAATGAGTGAATCCTGGGGCAGCAGAGAAGCCAGGAAGCATCACACGAATTTGCTACGAACTCCACAAGGCTCAGGAGTGTGAGGGACCAGGCATCTCTGAAGCCACGGGCTGACACAGGACCACATGCGAAAGGACTGACTTCAGTCTTCTCAGGAGACTGTCCCCTTCCGGGGTCTTTCCAGTGCAGCGCAGAAGTAACAGATTGTGTGAATCCCCATCCCTCCCTTTGCCTGTGGTTCTGCATCTACTTCCACACACAGCAGAATAAGTATCTCTGCCACACCAAGGTTGTGCTTGGCAACAAGACCCACCCTAGCCAATGGATGTGGACAGAAATAACAGTGCCCTGGAGCCCAGGCTGTAGCAGACACTCTGCTTCCACAAGTCCCTGTTGGAGTCTGGCCCCATAGCCGCTGGTCCAAGAAGAATGAGAACCATGAAGAACGACAGATCTGCCCCAGGCTCCCAGCCTGAGCTGCAGACCCCCAAACAGCCATGATTTCTTGAAGCTGTCGAGTGTCACTGAGGTTGTGTGGTTCCACCGCACAGCTGGCTGGAGTGATTGGTACCTAGAACTGGAGCGCTGCTCTCATAAAAACTAGTGTGTGGTACTAGCCTGGGAAGGTCACAGGTGTGATGTGTCATAAATACAGACTGCTACAACCTATATATTCAAAGACTTTAAAATGATGAGGGGGCTGGGGATTTAGCTCAGCAGCACAGCGCCTGCCTGGCAAGCACAAGGTTGTGAGTTTGATTCCTGGTACCGGAAAAAAAACAAAACAAAAAAATAAATGATGAAGAAAATATCACAGGGGACTAGAAGAATGGTGCCTATGTGTTGTAACAACAAAATACTAGACTTAATTGTTACTAGAGTAACAAGAAGATTGTCCTAGCGAGTCCAAAGCTTTAAGCACGGAGGTCCTGGACCAAATGTTGACAGAGGGGACTGGAGTGTGCTCACAAATCTCAGCAAAAAGCCAACTAAGACCTGGGCATGGTACAAGCCTTTAATCCCAGCACTCAGACTGAGGCATGAGGACCATAGTGAGTTCAAGGCCAGCCTGGGCTACACAGCAAGACCTTATCTCAAAGGAAAAACAAAAAAAAAAAAACAAAAATCAGTAAGGAGTTGACAAGCACAGAAGAATTTAGAGAGCAGGTCACACCCTATAGACACATGGGAGGCAGCACCCCAGAACCTAGTCTTGGCCTGAGACTGAGCCCCAGACCCCACCTCCCCTAGCTTGGCCTGAGATGCTTCCCAGCCGGCTCTGGAGGCATCCAGGTTTGAAAAGGTCGCTGTGGCTGCCACGGGCCAGGACTGGTCTCCACTGGCACTCACACCTTATCTCCACGTTCCTCCCATGCCGGCGCTCAGCAGCTGTCTCTTGAACAAAGAAGCGCTCTGAAACAAGTTGCTCCCTCCCCCGACTCGGTTTCCCACGGTCCCAGTCAGTGCTGCCTCCTTGAGGGACATTTGCCCTCCCTCTCAGGCTGCCAAGAGCCTGGGAACTTTGGGCCCGCAGCCCCTCCCTCCCCAGCCGCCAAGCCTGACCTGGCCAGGCAGAGGAGGTCGCCTTGTGTGTTCAGTGCCGAAAGACCCCATTTCTATTGCTTCTCCGAGGCTTCACTCCATCACCTCAGCTAAAAGAAGAGCAAGCCGTTGAGTGGGCCGTGCTGGGTCCCGGGCACCCTGGAAGGTGCCGGGCAGGAGGGCCTGTGGGAACGGAGCACTGCGAGACCGGGAGCCCCAGACAGTTGCCCTCCCACGTGGCAACTGAGAGCACTGGTCCTGTGCACCAAAGTGGGCAGCTTTGAGTTACTCCTGGTCCACAGACCCGCCAGCACCTCACTGCTCCCAGCCCGCGAAGCCCACCAAAGTCCCTGCTGCCCGCCTCTCTCCGATGCCAGCGTCGCCTCTCCTTGTCCTCGTCATCCATCACCCTCAGGCCATCAGAACCACTCTTGCAAGTGGTAGAGCTGGGGCAAGGACGCCTGTCTCTGTCAGAGCTATCTATGGGGTCGTCTCAGTCCTTGATCCTCTCTCAGCCTCGGTCTCCACAAAGTAGAGCCCGGTCACGTGCTCAAGGTCACATAGATGGGACTCAGGCGTAGGGATTTTCACCCAGCTCACAGCTCTGGCTCCTGTCTTTCAGATCACTGCTGCCTTCTGCCAAGCAACTAAATGGCAGA